TTTTTTTTTTTTTTTTTTTTTTTTTTGTTTTTTTAATGTCCAGAGGACCAGATTTAACTTTTTTAGATTTTTCTACCTGGATTATTGAGCATGCATCAGGATATGAATCGTTTATGTTCATAATGAATATGAATCATGTATGTTCATAGTGAATATGAATCGTTTATGTTCATAATGAATATGAATCATTTATGTTCGTAATGAATATGAATCATGTATGTTCATAGTGAATATGAATCATGTATGTTCGTAATGAATATGAATCGTTTATGTTCGTAATGAATATGAATCATTTATGTTCATAGTGAATATGAATCGTTTATGTTCAGTGAATATGAACAGAGATATTTTCAGAGAAGCAATAGACTTAATGGACAAAATCCTGATTTAGGTTTTATGTAATGTTATCTTTCAGTATTAAATTGCATTACCAATTCATTTTATTTATATTTTTAACTCAAACTGAAGATGTCAGAAGTAATGAATATAATTTAGATGTAAAATAAAAAGTAAGCTGAAAACTGATAGTTGTTCCAGCAGCCTATCTTTGATGTGACCTGTGTTCTGCATGCTCCTCATTCCTCCTTCAGCTTCAGCGGGTCGTCATCCTTCGTTGGTTGTGGAGTTGGCAGGCGCTCCTGCACCTCTGCTTTGTGGCCAAGGCTTCATGAATCACGTGTTTCCTGCTGAGCTCACAGCAGACATGACGTGTTTCCCTGCAGAGATTAGTGGTAGCCGTGCTCTTCTGAAAAACATCCCATTTCCTTGTGTCATGGTGGAACCCACAAGTGTAGATAATACACCATCTGTTTTTCACTCTACTTGTTTTTCAGACAAAGCATGACATCATCAAAAATAACTCAAGGAAAGGATTTCATCCTTTTTCATGAGCTGACATTTTATAACTGTAGACTTTTAATTCGTTATGAAACTGTGTGTTTTATTTTTCACGTGATATGTGTTGTATACAGTTGAAGAATGACACACTTTATTGTAAAGTGCTTCTTCAGGCCTTAATATTGGTCTTCAATCATTTATTTGTTGTTGTTTGTTTGTTTGCGGGCCAGAACGGGCTGTTTTTGGCCCTCTGGCCTTATTTCACCTTGTTTTGTTGTTGCTCATCATTTGCGTCTGCTTGCTGAATATTTGTAGCTGAATGTGTTTTAAATGTTTTCGCCTCAGGGTCCTGCACGTCGACGCAGGAAACATAAAGCTGTGCAGTTTGTGACGATGTGCGCTCCGTGATCTTGCTGCTTCAATGGAAGCACCAGGCACAGCTGCTCCTCCTTCCAACTCCTCCTTTCTGGTTTCTCCATCCCCCCTGCGCCCGGCCATCCCCCCCTCTGTCCAGTTGGGTTTCACCATCCTCTTCACCAGTTTGTATGTGGCCCTCTTCCTGGTGGTCTACATGCAACTGTGGCTGCTCTACTTCTACAAACACAAGCGATGGAGCTACCAGAGTGTGTTTCTGTTCCTCTGCCTGCTCTGGGCTGCACTTCGCACCACACTCTTCACATTTTACTTCTACGATGCCATGGAAGCCAACCGCCTACCTGTTGTGGTCTTCTGGCTGCTGTTTTGCTTCCCCGTGTGTCTGCAGTTCTTCACCTTTAGCCTTATCAATTTGTACTTCACTCAGGTGAGGCTGGCAGAATTGGTCTTGAGTTCAGATGGAAAAAGTTCAAACTTAACTTGAAAATGAAAGTTTTTACATCATTATGGTCAGAGTAACATTTAAACAAGGATTTCCTTCATTTAACTGACTGAATCTTCCAGTTTAAGCATCATGCCTTATGAATCTAATGTTATATCTTAAATATTGTGCCACAGGTGTTGCTCAGAATCAGAGAGTCTTTCAGCTCAGCCATGCACAGAGGACTGTAAGTTTCACCCTTTACTCAAATTACTACATTGACATTTGGTGCATGATGTTTTGGTTTTGTATCCTGGTCCTACCTTTGTTGAATCCCCAGATGGGTGGCCCGATGTGCATACATTGCACTCAACATCATCTTCCTCTGTGTCAATGTGACATGTGCTGTTCTGGGGGACAGAGACGGCAGCAGCAAGACAGGGAAGCGGACCTGGCAGCTAGTTTTGGTCAGAGTTATAGTCAATGACTTGCTTTTCATCACAAACGCAGTGCTGTTGGCTGCAGTGCTGTTGATCCTAACCCGGCACTCACGCTCTGCCAGCCTCTACATGATTAGCAAGGTGAGCTGAACATCAGTCCATAGGGTGCAAAAAGTGCTCAAAGAAACACAAACTAAAAGTCCACTTTGCTGATTTCTGTTCTGGATTAGCCCTTGGTAATTATTGTTAAAAATGAGTGTGTAATGTCTTTCAGTATTATATTTCAAACATCTAGAGTGATGTGTGTTTTTTTTCTGACCAGGGGACCACAGTGTGCCAAACAGCAGCTCTGGGATCTACAGTCATCCTCTTGTTCACCAGTCGAGCCTGTTACAACCTGGCAGTCCTCGTTCTGTCCAAGAAGTATCCAGTAGAATCATTCAACTATGACTGGTACAACGTCTCTGATCAGGTAAGACATGAACATCGTCATCAGATTTAGGCAGTCGGCTTCTCTGATTGAGTATTTTTGATCTCAGAGCATTCAACTCTTAAAGACTGACAATAATACATTTAATTAATAATTAATTGATTAAATTACCTACTAATTCTTAGGGGTGCACCGATTGCAGTTTTCTGGCCGATCACCAATTTCTAAAAAGTCTGACCTGCCGATTCCAATTTTGGCTGATAACTGATTTTATAATCAACACTGTCGGGTGTTATAAAGTCACAATGTACCTTCAATTTTCTAATATTATTTTACTGAAAAACATACCCTTGAACAACATGCTAGAAACAAAACAAACTTGTTTTAACTGGCCATGAGGTAAATGGACTGTACTTATATAGCACCTTTCTATCTTATTTCAAGATACTCAAAGCTCTTTACAACAATTTGTGCCTCATTTACCCATTCATACAGCTCTATACTAGATCTCTACAAAGATAATTGAACAAATCATTCTAAAGAGACTAATCAGAGCTTTATCACATTCATACACTGATGGGACACACATCGGAGGCAACGAGGGGTTCAGTGTCTTACCCAGGGACACTTCAGCATGTGACTGCTGGTGGATTCAAACCCCCAACTCTCGCATTGGAGGACGACTGCTCTAACCACTCAGCCACAGCCGCCCCAGGTAGTGTTCTGAAATATAAATGAAGTTCATACAATTGTTAAAACAAACAAAAACACCCTATAAAATCAGTTCTATTTCTTATAGGCTTCGCCCTTTAAGGTTATCGCTAGTGGGTTTATCCCTACGCGCGCAGCACTGAAAACTTTAGTCCACGCCCACCTACTGTGTGGGCCTCATCCCCGGTCAGTATAAATTACGGTGAGACCGGGTAATCAGCTCCCATTTTTTCTTCAGCCAGCTAGCTAGCACTGTCAGAAGAACAAAGAAGGAAAATTTGTCCAGCTTTGACTGGCACAACCTTTTCTAAGGATGCCTGGGTCTCTGACGCCAACCTCCTGCCGTCCCGGTGAGCTCTTCCTCCCCGAGGAGAAGCAGAGACGAGCAGCCTTGTTCAAGGTAAGCGCCGAGGAGTGGTTTTCCGTGGCGGGCCACTACCCGCTGGACGACGCCATCTCCGTTTTCTAATGTTTTTTCCTCGCAGTAATCGAATGAGTTCCTCTAAAAAGGCGATGTTAGCAGCAGCTCCGCAGAGTGTTTTTCCGTGGAGGGCCGATACCCGCTGGACGATGCCACCGCCTTTTCTAACGTGTTTTTTTCTCGAGGTGAATCGGATGATTCCCTCGAAAAAGGCGTTGTTGGCAGCAGCTCAACTGAGTGTTTTTTTCTGTGGTGGGACGCTATGCGCGGGACAACGCCACCGCCTTCTTTGACGCAGAGTCACGCAGTGAATCGAATGATTCTTCCAAGAAATGCGATGCGGAGCTGCCCCCTCCCCCTGGAGAGCGTAGTGACGGAAGACGAGCGGATGCTCAGCCACCTCGGCTCTTCCCACGTCGGCAACTACACCGCTCCCAGCCGTCGGTACCCTCTTCTTGGAACTGTTCGGCATAATCCAGGAGGATGTTAACACAAGGGACTTTCCGTCCCTCTCCTCCCTCCGCCCTGATTGGATGATCTGGCGGCAAGGTTGGCTCCACCACGGCTCGTCGCCCTGACCTCATCTGGCCTCGTTGTACAGCTGTGACGTCACACTGGAACGAGGCTGCAGCTGGGCCCAGCAAGCTGAAGACATCTGTCTCCACCTTTGCCTCCATCTCCAGAGTGGAGGGTTTTACCGATCAGTGTTTTTCCCTTGGTCCCCACCCGGAGCCAACCCTGTCGGTGGCACTTTGGGCAAAAGCTTCCAGGATGGACCAGCAACCTGTCCCTCCAGGGAAGCATGACCAGATGGTGACATGGTCTTCAACCGAGCTCACCAGTGCTCATTCTAGATGGCCGCAGCAAACAACATTGTCGCCCTGCTGGTCTACAGAATCTCTAATGCCCCTTTTGCACTGCCCTAATCAGCCCCAACTCTGCTCAGTCCTGCACACCCCTACTCAGCCTGGCTCAGCTCAGCCTGGTTCTATTTCATATAGGCTTCGCCCTTTAAGGCTGTCGCTGGTGGGTTTTATCTCGTCATGCAAAGCATCGCACTGAAAAAATTTAGTCCATGCCCACCTGTTGTGTGGGCCCCACCCGGTCTGTATAAATTACGTTAAGAGCAGGTAATCGGCTCCCATTTTTCTTCAGCAAGCTAATAGCACTGTCAGAAGAACGAAGAAGGGAAGTTGTCCAGCTTGACCAGCACAACCTTTGTTAAGGCTGCCTGGGTTCCCGCCACGCCAATCTCCTGCCATCCCAGTGAGTTCTCCTCCCCGAGGAGAAGCAGACGAGCAGGCCTTTTTTCCTTTTATCGCCAACTCTTGGAGCGAATTGGATGGTTTCTCCGGGACAGGCGACATCAGCAGCAGCCCCTGCTGCTTATTCCCTCCTGGAGAGTGTAGTGTCGGAACGAGGGGGGCTGAGCAGATGCTCATCCCCCCCGGAACTTTTTCGCATCGGCGACCACGCCGCTCCCAGCCGCCAGTGCCCTCCTATCGGCGCTGCCCGGCATAATCCAGGAGACGGCTGACATGAAGGGACCTTTTTCCGTCCCTCTCCTTCCCCCGCCCAGATCGGATGATCTAGCGGGAAGGTTTTTTGGCTCCACCCCGGCTCGCCGTCCTGATCCCATCTGGCCTCGTTTCCCAGCAGTGACGTCCTACTGGAATGAGGCTGCAGCTGGAGCTGGTAGACTGAGAGCGCCGGTTTTCACATCTACGCCCATCACCAGAGTGGAGGGGTTTTACCAAGTGGAAATTCCCTGCCCATGCCACAAGCGCTCATGCAACCTCATACCATCAGTGATGCAGACTTCTGAACGGAGCATTGATAACAACTTGGGCTATCCTTGTCCTCTCTGGTCCGGATGACATGGCGTCCCAGTGTTCCATAAAGAACTTCAAATCGTGACTCATCTGACCACAGAACAGTCTTCCATTTTGCCACACTCCATTTTAAATAACCCCTGGCCCAGTGCAAACGTCTGAGCTTGTGGAGCTTGCTTAGAAATGGCTTCCTCTTTGCACTGTAGAGTTTCAGCTGGCAACGGCAGATGGCACGGTGGATTGTATTCACTGACAATGCTTTCTGGAAGTATTCCTGAGCCCATTCTGTTATTTCCTTGACAGTGGCATTCCTGTTTGAGGTGCAGTGACGTTTAAGGGCCCGGAGATCACGAGCATCCAGTAGAGTTTTATGGCCTTGACCCTTACGCACAGCGATTGTTCCAGATTCTCTAAATCTTTTGATGATGTTATGCACGGTTGATGATGATAACTTAAAAGTCTTTGCTATTTTACACTGGGTAACACCATTCTGGTATTGCTGCACTATCTTTCTGCGCAACAATGGTGGAATTGGTGATCCTCTTACCATCTTGGCTTCTGAGAGACACTGACACTCTGAAAAGCTCTTTTTATACCCTGTCATGTTGTCAATTGACCTAATTAGTGTTAATTTGTCTTCCAACTGTTCGTTATATGCTCAATTTCCTTTTTCCAGCCACTTATTGCTACTTGTCCCAACTTTTTTGGGATTTGTTGACACTGAAATTTTGATTCAACATATTTTTCCTTTAAAATGTTACATTTACTCAGATTAAACTTTTGATTTGTCATCTGTGTTGTATTACAAATAAAATATTGACATTTGCCATCTCCACATCATTGCATTCAGTTTTTATTCACCATACCATACCATATTTATTTATAAAGCACGTAAAACAGCTACAAGGCCAACCAAAGTGCTGTACAGACAAAACAACAGGTAGCACACAAAGCAAAATACAAAATGAGGTAAATCAGAATATAGACAAAAAACGATGCTGGTAATGACGACAAACCAGTGTAGAGCATACAGGATCAAAACAGATCATCTTGTGTTGAAAGCTATTGAATAGTAGTGAGTTTTTAAACGGGACTTGAAAACCGAGAGGGAGGGGGCCTGTCTGACAAGCAGAGGTAACTCGTTCCAGAGTCTTGGTCCTGCTACAGAGAATATGGCAAGCCCTTTTAACATAAAATCGAGTAGTCTGACTATCTGTAGTTACATTCTAGATATCTTAAATTGAGTTTTGACTAGGCACAATTACATTTTGACTAGTCAGAATGCTAATTTAAGATATCTGTATTTACATTCTGACTAGTCAGAATAACAATTCAAGATATCTTGAATTA